AGCTCCAGAATCAGCCGCCGCGCCAAGTCCGGACCTCGAGAGACTTCCCCGCGGGTTCAGGCCGCCGCGCCTTCTCGCCCGCGCCTGCCCTGCCCTGCCCTGCGCGTCCCAGTCCCGGGTTCCGTTCCCGGACGCTCCCAGCCCTGCGGTTGGGGCGTGCGGCCGGGACGCCCCGAGCCCCGGCCCTGATCTGATTCACCCGAGCGGGACGCTGCTGGCCCCGCGGTACCGGACCATCGTTGTGGGGTCGTCCCAGCCTTGCTATCAGTGTGTGGGAGCCCCCAGTCCTCCGCGCGGGGCTTCGCGCAGGGAGCCCCGGACAACCACCTGGGTGCTGAGGAGCCCGGACGCCCCCAGCCTCTGGCCCTCTCAGACCGAAACCTCCGCTGCCTCCGGCCGAGTGCTTCGGACTTAGAACCGTGGGAGCGCCAGGAAGCCTGGGCGGCCCGGGTCCAACGCCCCGAGAGGGGTCCCAGGCTGCAGGACAGTCGGATCGAACTGGTGCTGTGAGCCGAAGCTGCCACCTCCTGCCACCCCAGGCCAGGGGCTCCGCACTTGCCCGGAAGAGAACACAGGGGCTCCGTCTGCCCGGGCGGCCGGCGAGAGCCCAGGCTGCAGGTGAGAGAGCCCCGGATGCGCGGCAGGAGCGGTCCCGACCCCCGGGGCAGCGCCGGGTCAGCCGAGGGCGTGTAGGGGGGATAGCAGAGGGTGCACTGACTAAGAGGGGGCGCGGGAAAGGGAGAGGAAAAGGAGAAAACGGGCACTTATTGAGCGCCCATTGTGTGCAGGTCGGCGCCCCGCCCTTGCACAAACGTCCCTCACTGAAGGCTCGCTGCTGCCCCATGTGAAATAAGGTGTGGACTGTTGTGGGTGCTTGCAGATGAGGAGACGGAGGCCGAACGGGCCGAACGACCCTGTTGTTTTCACTCCGGGATGACACTGTCGAAGAGGGAGAGGATAAAAAGCGAGGGGGAAAGAAAGGAAGCGGCTGGCAGGCAGACAGTGGGGGCGGGGGTGGAGGTGCAGCCATCGGGACGTTGGGCATCACAGCGCTGATCCCTGATCCCAAGCCTCAGGAGGACGCTTCTCCTTGCCTCCGGCTTCCCAGGAAAGGTGACCCAGAATTGAGGGCAGAGGTGGGGCGCTTCCCAGCTCCAAAGCTGTTCTCCTCTTGGGCCCGGGAGGGCCCCTCTGTGCCAGACTCCAGGGTCCCTGCCATGCTGCTCATCTGTTTGGGAACTGGTGTCCAAGTCAGAGCCCCGCAGCAAACCCCTCACTCCCCTCACGCACAATACTAATGGGGTGGGGGAGGGCACTGATGGCCCCAGGTCCAGAAGCCAGTGATCCTCTTCCAAGATACCCACTCTTCTCCCCAGTGAGCATCTTCTAAATGAGAGGCTGGGGTTCCCCACCCTGGTGTGAGGCAGGAGTGACCATGTGTGAGGCTGTTATGAGAGTCTGTGCCTGTAGTGCTGGGGCTTGAGACGCACATGCCAGGGCTCCATAGCCTCTGGCCCAGATTGAAGGTCTGACCTCAGTCTCTCTGGGACAGAGAAATCTGCAAGACAGCTCTGGCCCAGGAGAGGAGGGGCTGCTCAAGGTCTCAAGGCTAGGGCTACCAGGCTGGGGGCACAGCCCAGGTGTCATGATTTCCAGGCAGGGGCTCCTGTCGCTGCCCCAGGGGACCTGCAGGAGAGGGGTGTTGTGAAAGCACCTTTGGCACAGACTCTGTGGGCCCTTGTTCTGGGTGGGAAGGGGGAGGGGATATGGCTTCCGTCTGGGCCCTGTGGCCTTGGCCAGCACCTGTTAACCCTTGCTATGCCCACCTCCACGGTGCACAAACAAATCACCTTGGAAAGCCCCTGGGGGGGAGGGGAACAGGTGGTGAGAGGTCAGCTGAAGGCTGGGAGCTCAGTCCCTGAGGTGGGCGGGTTGATGGAACCCAGGGAGAAAGTGACTAAGGGGCCTGTGATTTCCCTCCCCCTACCTCAACCTGAGGGTTCAAATCCCCATAATAATCCCTGCATCTAAACAAAGCTCCTTTTTGATGAAATCATTTCACACCTGTAATCTCATTTCATGGTGTGGTGGGAGAGCCTGGAACCTGGAGGGAAGCAGGGCAGGGCTGGGAGTCACCTGGGACCACTCAGGGACGTCCATAGCTCCCACCTCACCTGTAAAATGGGACTGGGCGGTGTGCTACCTGCTCAGATAACTGGACAACACACTGGGCAAACTGTAAAGTGCTAAGGCATTCGTTGTGTTTGCCAAGGGCTGGTTATGAATGGCGACCTCCTGCGGGAAACTGAGACACAGAGAGGTGAAACCACCTGCCCAGGGCCTTGTGGTCTGCTTTGAGAACTGTTTAAGCAGTAACTCCAGAAGCCCTGGAGTTACCCAGGTGGGCCAAGTAGTAGCCTGGCACCTAAGTAACCGAGGAGCTGCAGACAGGGCACGTCAGACCAGGCGGGCATGAATCCAGCCTGCCACAGTAGCTGAGTGGCACTGGGTGCATCCCTCCACTCCTCTGAGCCCCAGCATGTTCTCTGTGGAGTTAGAATACTTCCCTTGCCAGCCTGTTGTGAGGATTACGTGAGATACACATATACAGTGCCCGGCCAAATATCCATTTCCTTCCCTGTGAGGAAAAGGAAGCTTGACCTCTGACCGGGAAGTCTGGGAAGATTCTCAGACTTGCCTTCGGTTAGAAAGCAGCTGCTGTCGCGTTTGCTCAGCTCAGGCCCCCGTGTGGGTCGTACCCCATGCAGCCTCCCTTACTTGCCCAGCCTTCTGGAATATGCTGAGGGACAATGGCAAGGGGCTCTGGATTCTCTCTCTCACACACACACCCATTTCACGGTAAGGGGCTGTGGTAGGGGAGCTGGTGTCCATTCCCTTGCCCATTGTCTGGGCTCCCCGGGCACCCAGGCGCAGTGAATAATTGATTGCTCCCTGGCAGTAGTGAGGCTGGCCCAGAGGAATCGCTCCGTGCTCAGCTGAGCTCCAGAAGCCCGCCAGGGGAAGCTGGTGGCGCCTGTGCTTTTGGTCTTGGAGGTGGAGTGTATGCAGGGAGGCCGGGGTGGGGCAGGAGAAAGTGACCTGTTAACAACCCGGCTCTCTTCTGTTGCAGCAGAGGGATCAGCTCAGGGTCCCTGATTGCAAAGAGGTGGTAGGGGGAGGAGTAAGGGTGAGGATGAAAGCATGAAGGAATGAATTGGGAGAGCCCCGCGAGGACTGGCGTGACCAGGAAGGCTTCATGCAGGAGGCAATTTCAGCTGGAGTGAGAGGCAGCTTGCTATAGTGAGTTGGGCTGGGTGACCTACTCACTGGTCAGAGCCTGACTGGGTGACCTACTCACCGGAGACCATGGACAAGGCACCCACCCTGCCGGGCCTTTGTTTCCTCCTCTGTAAAATGGAGGTAGCGATGCCCACCTCCCAGGGTTATTGTGAGTGAGCGTGAGGCCACACGTGTAAAACACAGCAGGCTACACACTCAGGGAAGGAGTACTTCACTGTGAACACAAGCCACGGAGTGGGCTGGTGGGGGGAGACGGGGCGGTGTGGCTGCAGAGGGGTGGAGTGAGCTCAGGTAGTGGTACCGGGCCTGTGGGGCTTATGAGAGAGGAGGCTCCTTGTTTGGCTCCTCGGATGAAGACCTGGCCCCTAGTGGTGACATTCAAGTCCTTACCCTCAGTAAAGCACCATGTGGACCACTGGCCCTTGGCTTAGCATGGTCTCCTAAACACAACCCGTGTGGCCTCATCACTGCGCTTTGCTTGTCAGGTTCCTCCCATCCAAGCAGCCATCCCTGTCCCTTCTCTGCTCACCTCCACATCTGTTGAGGCCCAGTTCAGGTCAGAAATGGCCACAGAAATATTCCTGGATGACCCAACTGTCTGTCATGTCCCCTTGGAATCTTTAACCTTAACAATAATAGTAATGAACAAGGCCTGCCATCTGTAACGGTGCAGTTGTCAGGGGCATCGCACACCCACCTAAGACCACAGTGGGGACCTTCACCACAGCCACGGCTCTGAGTATTCACTATGAGCCAGACACCATGCTAAGCACTACACAGGCACTCTCACACACCAGCTCGAGCTGCCTACGGTTAGCTCCCAGAAATGGGATCAGAGAGGTGCTTTGTCTTACTCAAGATCACACAGTGAGACGGTGGGAACAGGGAGTCCAGCCTGCATCTGTTTGAATTAGAAATATATGCTTGTGTCTGGGACAGAACAGATAGCTAGACAGCCTTTAGGAGTCCTGTCTCTGCAACTCCCTCCAAGTAGCCACTCCCTCTGAGCACCAGTAGTGTATACTTTGCATGTAAAAAGCCTGGACGTGAAAGGCCAGTGCAGGACTGAACATGGCCCAGGAAGGAGTCTTTAGTGGGGAACCCCAGGCCCTACACTGGCTGGCTGTATGCTGGAATTTGGCCCCTCTCTGTGGTCATATTTGCCTATGTCCATGGCCAGTGGGGTGGTGTCTGAGCTTCCCTGTAGCTCCAGCTTTCTGCAGTGTCCTTTGTGACCCTGAAAGGGGGAGAAAGAGACCACAGCACCGAGGCCAGAGGATGTGGTGAGACGGACCGCTGTGATTTTTGGCCTGGCTGCTGTCTGGGCCAGCAGGCTCTATGGATAGCTGCTACCTCCCCTGAAGGAGGGTGGCGGCCCTGGCTGCAGGCAGCATGGTCATTAACTGGGCAGAGGAGCCGGCTGGGCCAGGCCAGCTTGGCAAGACTAGAGGCAGACTGGTCCTGCCGCTGTGGGGTCACTGGAGGGGCAATCGGCTCCTCCTTCTGCCCCTGCCACCCAGGCTGTAGCAAGCACACACTGGGCACAGAGCTTCGTAGGCCATGGCTTGCCCTTTCCTCTGTCATGGTTATTGTGGGAGAAAGAGCAATGAGAAGTCCAGCCAGGTCCAAAGCTGCCACCTTCTAGAGACTTCCAGGACTCCTCTGAGCATGTGGAACTCATCGTCCTCTGCCTGGCACCAAGTAGCATCTTCTGGGCGAGGGGAAACAGGGCACGCCGTCCCTTGGACGAGCTGCTCAACTTTACACCCCTGTTTTCTTCCCTGTAAAATGTGCCAACAGTAAGAGTATGGCAAAGGTTAAAGGAGATGAAGGGTGTCGGGTACCTGGTCAGGCCTGACACACCTGCGGGTACCCCATCAGCGTGAACTGGCCTTTCCCTCACTGACCTCGTGAACTGCGACTCAGGAAGAATCCGACTGAAGAGTTGGGCAAGTGATGCCAAGAGGGAGGGCGTGCTGGGTAGCAGGGAATCCTCCCCATAGGAGGACTCTCATGGGTCAGAGGCATTTGCAGAGGTGCATTCCCTCCACCTTCCCAGAGAGTGACAGTGAGGGAGCAGGCAGCTGTTGGCCAGGGAGAGACCCCCCAGACAGCGTTAGGGTGGGGAGCAGGACTGGGATGCCTGGGATGGGACTTTACTTTTTACACCTTAGCAGCAGGAA